TAGCAATGAGACAGTTTCAAAACCGTTTAGTAGGACAGTTTTAATAATTAATACAGTGCATATTGTTGTCTTTGTAGTGGTTTTTCATAGTACAAGATGCAGACATGATATCCTGTCCAAACACTATTAGTATAAATCTTTCTTCTCATTGAATTAAGAGAAAGTACCTGTATATCTATCCTAATTATTTTGTACATACAGATACAAAATAGTCCTTCAGTTGTATCCCCTTTCTTGTTTAGTTTTGCCAGAGATGTGTATTTCATTGGCATTTAAATATTGTATGTGTGTGAATTCAGCAAAATAATCCAATATAGTCCAGTAGTCCACAATAGTGGGTTATCTGTAGGACTGACAATGTCAGAAGTTGTTGACTTGAGCCTTTTACAGCTCATCATATTAATATGGTTTTACTTTTTATAATTAACTATTGAAGTACTGTTGATGTATTTTCCACCACAGCAGCACCGTTTTAAATTCCTATTTTACCTGGGTTAATCTGCTCAGGTCTACCTTCTGTCCCTCTCTCAGACAGGAGCTTTCTTTCCTCCAGTAAATATAGTCTGCTCTTTAAAAGAAAAATCCCCACCTTAATGCAAGAGGGTTCCTATTTTGTTATAGCTTATCCAATGTTTTGTATTTCCATCACTTAGCTTATAGCCATCCTGGTACATGTGTATTCGAATTACATTGTGACTTTGATTTTAATATCTCTAGTCATAATGATATAAGCAAAATTAAGTGATAATCTGTAGATAAAAATCTCTTCCAATTCCTTGCCTTCTTATCACTCATTTTATTTATTTTTTATTTTTATTTTTATTCATAATTTTATTGAGAAACAAATAGCAATGAGACAGTTTCAAATCAAATCGCTAGGACAGTTTTAATAATTAACACATTGCATACATTCTTCCTAGTGCTTAATTGCTGTATAAGATGCGGACATGATATCCTATTTACAAACACCATTAGAACAAATCCCTCTATTCATTAAGAGAATGTAACTATATATCTATTCTAACCACTTTGAATACACAGATACAAAATGGACATTCATCTGTATCACCTTTTTTCTGTTAAGTTCCATTATTTGAATATTATAGGTGTGTAAACTCAGCAAGATATTCTAAAAGAGTCCAGTAGCCCATAATAGCATTGGGTCTTCCGCTTGACTGGCAATGTCAGACATTGTTGACCTGAGTCCCCTACAGCTCAGCATAACAGCATGGCTTTACTTCTTATATTTCGTTTTTATACTTTTCTACTGGATGGTTAAGACCAAGGTAAAGCAGGACCTATGCAACAAGAGTTGTAGCTTTTGGGTCTGATAAGGTCAGTGAAATACCCTCAGGATTTAACCTGAGATCCTGTACCTCAGATTGTAGAACCTTTGTCAGTGTCAGCCATGTGGATGAGTCATGGCCATTGCTTGGCCAATGTGCTCTCTGTGAAAGCCTGAGAGAATGTTTTCTCTCCATATCACTCAATTATTTTTGTGGTTGAATTATAAGATTTCTTTATATATTCTGGAGGGAACATCTGGGATAGATACATCATTTGCAAATTATTCCTTCTATTCATAGGTCTCGCATACCTTTTTGAATGTTTTGAGGAACAATCTTTTAGATTTGGTGAAGTAGATTTTAAATATTTTTATGAATTTTGATTTGAGTTTAAAATCTCAGAATCTGCTGACAAAGGTGAGACCATAAAACTTACTGCCTTGATTTTTTTCTATGACTTACATAATTTTATATTGTATTTTAGGTGTTTTTTTAAATTTTAAGTTAGCTTTTGCACACAGTAGAAGTAAGAGGCAAGTTTATTCTTTTGAATGTGACTATTCAGTTTTCCAAACAGCTTTTTCAAAGAACACCACCCACAAGTCAATGGACATAATGCCATCCTCAAAATCCAACAAATCATATGTACACATGTTTATATTTGGACTCTAAATTCTATATCACTTATGTAATTGTCTTTCTTTGTGCCAGATGCACACTGCCTTCATTTTTATATCTTTGTGGCAAGTTTTGATATTGGAAGGGATGAATCCTACCATTTTATTTTTCTCTTTCAATATCATCTGGGCCCTTTGAAAGATATACAGCTACTTTTTCTTAGTTCAGTGAGAGAAAGATTTGTACTAATATTGTTCAGACAAGAGATCAAGTCTGCATCTTGTACTGTGAATAAATACTATGAACACAACAATATAAAATGTGTTAATTATTGTAACTGTCCTACTAATCTGTTTTGAAACTGTCTCATAGCTATTTCTTTCTCATTAAAAAGAGAAAGAAATTAATAAAATTTTTAAAGAGAAAAAACACTTAGGACCAATGTTTTCCTCAAAACTTTGGACCACTTAAAATTCTGTACAATTTTTAAAACAAAGTTGTTATTTTGTACAAAGAAGCTAGGTAGGACTCTGGCATAGAATGCATTAAATCTATAGATGATTGTTAAGAGTGTTGATATTTTAATAATACATTTTTTAGTCCATGATCATTGGATGTTTTGCCCACTTATCTCTATCCTCTTTAATTTCAGCATTTTGTAGTTTTTAGTGTATGTCACTTTTTTCAACTGTATCATTAAGCATATTACCTTTTTTGCTATTATTATCAGTGAATTTGCTTACTTTTGTATTTTTTCTTTGGTATATAGAAATATTACTTATTTTATATGTTAAACTTATATTCTGAAATGTAGCTGAATATATTAGTACTAGTAATATGTGACTAAAATATGTGAGAGAGGTAACCTTGTCTAATTTTACCTTATCTTGGAAGAAGTCACTAAAGAATTACTGCCATGCTAGCCTTAAATTTCACTGTATGCACTTTATCAGATTGAGGAAATTCTTCTATTTAATTGACCCTCATTACATGCTATAGGTATATGAATGGGGTGTACTCATATTTCTTTTTGAATCCATTTCTATAATTCATGTTTTTCTCTGATTTTGTTAATCTATTGTATTATTTTTATCATTGTTCTAACAATATATTTCAGTGGAATTATTTTATAGTCATATTTTTTTAATTCATAGATTTTTTAAATATATTTGGTACAAGGTCTACAGGGTCTACAGAGTCTCACTACATAGCTCACTGAATCACTATGAGATCAGACTCATAGTGATTCTTCTGTTTTCAGCCTCCCCAGCACTGGGATTAGAAGCACATGCCATCACACCCAGTCTCAACACGCCCCAGGGTCGAGGCTGGCATGGCATGCTGAGGATCAAATCCTTACCAGTGCCCTTTGCCTAAGCAAGTGCTTTTCTGCTGAGCTATCTGGCCAACCAAATTCATAGAATTTTTTTTAATTTTTATTTTTATTAGTACTTGTTTGCAATATATAGTAGTTAGATTCCTTGTGAGCAAATCATACATGTACAAAGTACACCTCAGTTTCTTTTGTTCTCTCTTCCTCCCCTCTCTCCCTCTTCTCATTTCCCTTCCCATTTAAAAAAAGATTTAATTTTTTCTATTTTCTATTATCTATACATTATTTTGCTCTTTACTTATATTTTGGATTTCTCATATGAGAGAAAACATGCAGTAGTTAAGCTCCTATGTATTATTCATTTCATTTAACATTATGGTGCCAATGTGTATTAATTTTTATTTATTTTCACTCATTGACTTTGGATATTACCAGTTGCAGTCATTTCTTTTTACTTCTGAGAAAATACAGGTAACATTTTGCCAACTTCATTATTTTCTGAGCATCATTCATTTTCACTGATTTCTTCACTTGTATTTACCTTTTTATTTCATTAGAGTCAAGTGTATTCATTAATATCTTCTTTTTCCTTAGGATCATTTGCTGATTTTTCTTTAGTGAACGATGATGTTGTTTTATGATTAATTGGAGATCTGTACTACTCAGTATCTATAACTTTCCCTCTGAGTTCTGATATTTTACTCTCATATTGCCGATTGTGTTGGTGTTTTATTTTACTTTATTTTTTGTTTTATTTTATTTTATTTTTATGCATTTAGTACAGGGTATACAGAGTCTACTGAGTCTCACTACATAGATCGGACTCATTGTGATCCTCCTGTTTTCAGCCTCAAAAACGCTGGGATTTCAGGCGTGCACCACCATGCCCAGTCTCAATCGCCATCTCAGCTCACACCGAGGGCAGGGCCGACATAGCACACCAGGGATAGAACCCAGGCTACTGTGCTCTGCCTAAGCAGGTGCTTTAATCTGCTGAGCTATACAGCTGGCCCTCTTTGTTGGTATTTTAAAAGTAGTATTAGTATCTACTAATTACTTCAATTGTGCTTTATTTTTTATTTCATGAGATTCCAGTGTGGTGCTCAATATTTTTTTTTCTTCTGTTTACTTAGATTCTTTGGCTGTTTTTTCTTTAGTGGTCTGTAGTAAATTTCATTAATGATTAAAAGTCTATTTAATAGCAACAACTTTTCTTCTGAGCTTGGCTTTACCCTTATACTCGTTTTATGCTTCACTTCTAAATCTGTTCCAGTTTGTAACAGTGCTTTATATTTTTTTTCAATCCCTTGGTCATTGAGGTGTGTTTTAATTAATTTTTTACATTGGTGAAGAATTTTTAATTATTTATATCTGATGTCATTTTATACTAGTTGAAAAACATATCTTGCATTAGTTCTACTCTATCTTCTCTTTCTTGAGCAGAATGATTAGTTATAGCACCAGATTAAAGCCTGACTTTGTGCAAAGCAACTGTTCTAATAATGCACAGAAGGATAAGAGCTCAGAATTTTCAATCTTTCTCCTCTGATCAATGCAGATGGGGCCACCGATGATGCTGCTCCAGTGGTGCCCCTCTGTGATGTGCCTTTGCTCAGGCAGTAGCCTGCAGCCCAAATAAAGGCCAGAGAAGAGATGGTTCCCACATGACAACCCTGATACTTACTAATCTGAGTGATATATAAAAGTAATTGCTCCAGGAAAATTTTGCATTTTCATGGTTTCTTTTTGTCTTTCTCCTATAGTACTTTTTCCATTCCTTATACCAGTGTTGGATGCATTAAATATCTCTCTGTTTCCAAGAGATGTTACAGACTTTTTTAAAAAGTCTGTTGAAAGTATGAAAGAAAGTCGCCTCAAAGAGAAACAAAAGGTAAAATCTGGTGGTATTTACATGTGGGTGTTCCCTCATTGATAATATATTCGACTGTATCCATGTGATTTCATCTTTCTTTCATCCCACCCCTCCTCCCTTCATCCCTCTCTTCTAATTCTTTCTTTCTCTTTGTCTCTCTGTATCTGTGTTTCTTTTTCTGTCTCTATTTCCCTGCTTCTCTTCTTCCCTCCCTCCCTCACACACTTTCTTCTCCAGCACTTTTATTTTTCATTATGAGAAGTTCACTGAATCACTAAATTTCACAGGCTTGGCTCAAATTTGCAATGCTTTCTACCTCAGGCTTCAAAAATGTTAGGCTTACAGATGTTCACCATCATGCCTAATTTATGTATGTAGCTTCTGTACATTTTTGTATTTATCTTATGCCATGTACAGTAACCTAGTGACCTAAATGACTATAAAAATTATATGTTGTAAATACAAAATAAGATTAATGCTATCAACATGCATAAAAATAAGGAAAGAGTATTTAGAAAAGGAGGAAATAAAGAGGGACTTAAAAAAGAATAAAGTTGTATTATGTACACATACCCACTATCTGAAATGACTGTAAATTGCATCCACTGACAACATAGATTAATAAAAATATGTAAAGTTAGATGGAGAACTCTAAAAGAATGCAAACTCTCACATTTCAGAGAGAGTTCTGAGTCAGAAAGCATTTAAAATTAAATGATAGTACTTACAGTTTGTCATAGCATGCATATTTTTGAGATTTATCTTTACAAAATTCCAGAAAGAGGAAATTTTGCACAATGTTAGAAGTAATGTAGGGTAGAAATGTCATTATGTAAAAGCATGCACAGATTTCTTAAACTGTTAATGAGAGAATTATCATATGATCCAGAAATTCTCCTACTGGGTAGATATTCAAAGGAAATGCAAGCAGTACATTGAAAGGATATTTTTACTCCATGTTCATAGTAACACTATTTTTAAAATTTTTATTGACATGTAATTATGTTATATATTACTGGTATTAGGTGCTGTATTTCCATACAATGTCACAGCAATGCTCACAGTACCTAAGAAATGGAAACATCTTAACTATGCATTAGCTCATGTATGGATAAATTGTGGTACATATTTAAATTGCTATTAGAAAATCCTCCTGTGAATTTCTTGATCAACCTCCACTCTCAGCTTCCCCATAATTATGCGTTGGTAGTTACTTCTCTTGTTACACCAGCTTGCTCAGGATGTAGTCCAAGATGCTAATCTTTTGTTCTCCTGTATTAATTCTTTTTCCTGATTTACTCCTTAATAAGTGGCCAGTAGATTAACCTGGCATTTCCACAGCTCACCAGAAGGTTTTAGGAACCTATCTTAAAATATTCCAGCTATTTTAAAAAATAGCCATTAAAAAATGTGAAATTCTGTCACATACCATGGATAGGACAGGAAATTGTTGTGCTGAGTGAATTAAGTCACCCACAAAATGACAAGTATTGCATACTCTCATTCATATGTGGAATCAAAAAACATTGATATCATAGACATTAAGGATAGAATGGTGGACACCAGAGAACAAGGAGAGTTGGGTGCCGGTGAAAAATATTGATTTGTGAGTATCAAAGTAGGTTAGGTAAGACCCAGAAATTCTCATGTGCTATTATACAGTAGGTTTTCTATAGATAAATACATTTTATTACATATTTTAATAACTAGAGAAAAGGATTTTGACAGTTTTTACCATAAACTATCTTTGAGGAGTTTGATATATTTAATCTTATTCAAAAATTATGTGATATGTACTTGTATCAAAACACACAATTCTCCATTAAGTATAATTTTCATGTTTATGAGTATCTGTTAAAAATCAAGAAAAAATTCATTAATTTATTAAGAAATGAAAACAAGACTACAAATTTACCATAATCTAACAAGAAAACTTTACTATATTCTTCACCCTAAAAACTATATTATCATATTTCATAGATAAAAATTCTATTTACACTTTCACTTCCCAGGTACTTTACTTTTAGATCTTATATTCATAAAGAATCATTTCATTTTTCATATTCCCTAAGGGAAGGCCTTTGTGGATACCTGATGGAATGTAGTCTGTGTTAAAATTTGAGCTCCTCATAACTTTGATTGGCTGTGGGACTTCTCTGGGCTTTGTGGCTTTGCCTCAAGCAGGCTGTACATCATCATAGGGATGTCCTCAGGTCAGAGAGGTATCACTGTGTACACTACAAATTTCACTGCATTGCAGGATCATGCATGATTTCAAGTTGGGTCCCTAAAACCTGATGATGAGCCTGGAAATGACAAATTAATCTATTGGCTACTGGTTAAGAATTAAGCCATGAGAACAAAAGATTAGCATCTAGGACTCCATCCTGAGAACACAAGTGTGACAGGAAAAGGAACTACCAACTTCTGGCCAGGAACCCATACTCATGAACCAGACAAGTCAGAATCAGGGAAGTCAGAGACTTAAAGCTGTTGGACACAATGTCTGGTTTTCAGTCAGGGAAAAATCCTGTCCTCCAAAGTTAATTGATAATGTTTTTTATTCCCACCAATCACACAAGCAACCTCAGCAAAGTTTCGTAGACTCAAAAGGAAATTATATAACATACTGACTCAACTGATTTATTTCTGAGTTCATGATTGACATTGTGGCTTTGAAAATTCTCCTTCTATTTCTAGCACCGAGTGGATTTTCTACAGCTGATGATAAACTCCCAGAATTCCAAAGACACAGAGTCTCATAAAGGTAATTCAGAATGCCCCAAAGTAATGATGGGGCAACTGAGAGAATGCAGTTGTTCTAGAAATCTATGGGAAGGTTTTAAAATAGCACAAAGTTTCTTGAAATTGTTGGTGAAAAAAAATTGTATATTATACACAGTCAGAGGTATGTTCTATCAGCATGTGAAGTAATGTCAAATATTGAAGGCAATATATACACACATTTCATACCTGGATATCATCAGTGATCTTGGGTCCCCCTATCAGAAAAAATGCTGGTTATCAGATGCATGCAGACCCACTGAATCAGAATCTCTGTTTGAAAATTAGCACCTAGCCATCAAATAATCTGTGGCATCTTTGAACACTGGTGATGTTCCCTGCAAATAGATATGAAAGTGTTCGTTAGCTTAGTACACTGCAAAGTGATTAATATTCCTCTCATAACTAATAAGTCCTTTGTGAGGAAAAATCTTTGAAACTGTGCTAATATCTGTCTCTTTATACTTTCATCTACCAGATTTATCAAGTGTAGACGGTTTTTGAGTAAAATCATTATTTTTGCGATTGTTTCAAACTAATGAATTGCTAACTTCATTTCTTAAATACTTATACATTAGTTTTTCAGTATAAGAACCATCATGTCTGTGTCATTTTTTCTCTCTTTCTTTCATCTCTTTCTTTTTCTTCCTTGTTTCCTCTTCCTTTGACTCCTTACTTTCCCCTCCCTTTATTCCCTTTCCTTCTTTCCCCTCCCCTCCCTGTCCCATTTCTCCTGTCCCTCTTTCTGTCCTCCTATATCGCCCCTACTCTCCCTCCCCTCTCCTCTACCCTCTTCCTTTTCTTTTCTTTCTTTTCCTTTCTTTTCATTTCCTTTTTTGTCCTTATGTTTCCTAGCTTCTCTTGGAAGAAATTCAACAAGGAGAAATACATCTATCCAAAGGCTGTTGTGGGATTAAGTAGAATAGAGAGAGGGGGCAGGTGCTGAAAAAGATGACATCTGAGTCATGAATGATGTTATTAATTTTACCCAACATTCGCCCCATACTTTATGACCAGGGCCTTTCTACTTGGACATTCTTTCTTTCACCATTCTGCCATTCATTAGAAAAGGGATGATCACTCTTGTTCTACCACCTTTCTTTCTGTGTGATTTCTGCACAACCTGAGTTCACCTATATTGAAGAGTGTTGCCTGAGATATTCCTTACATATGCCTTTGGAAGCTTGCAATTTGAGCTCAGTTTTGAATATATATTACCTATTTTGTGAAAATTCAAATTTCAATGGGGTAGATCTTGGATGAGTTTGAGAGTCTGTGTTTCTAATCAGCTTCTAGATGCAGCTGATCCTGAGTGTCTGTGGACCACACACTGAGTACACCGAATACTAGCAATTTCACCAATGCCCAGAATTGCCCAAACATGCTTAGATAAAAGATCTTTTAATTTCCCTGCAGTGATTACTTGGTATTAAAAATCTTTTCAATGTTCTTGCTATTTTTAACTAAAATAATTTCATTATTCCTCAGGGAAAGAGTTCTATCATCATTTTTACCCAAGCAAAGTAGTTTTAAGATTATTCAAGGGCAAACAACTTAAACTTTGCATATTACACAAAATGATATCTTGAAAATACTCAACTATGAGAGTATTTATCTCATTACCGATGAGACTGGCATAATGAAGAACAAATAGCCAAGATCTCTATCGATCATAAGAAATTGAATTAAAATTATTCATCCTTTTTCTTCTATGTAAGATAGATTTTAAAAGTGAAAACTACTAAGACTCTAAATTCCTTGATCATTTTCTATGTTGAGTATTCATTAATTATACTTGGATGTCTCTAGATCTAAGTTGTGATGATCTACATTGACTGACTTTCTTTAAAATGCATTTTCTATCCTCTTAGCCCTTTCTGATCTGGAGCTTGTAGCCCAATCAATTATCTTTCTTTTTGGTGGATATGAAACGACCAGCACTACTCTTTCCTTCGTTATGCATGCATTGGCCACTCACCCCGATGTCCAGAAGAAACTGCAGCAGGAGATTGATACAATTTTGCCCAATAAGGTGAGTACATTGTACCTAGAGAGGGACTGAACCTTTAGCTTTTAAGAATAGTATTTCTTAATCACTGTCTTTGTTAATTCCTCATTAATGGTACAAAATATTTGACACCCAAAAATTAAAAGATAAAAGATTTGTTTCAACTCACAAATTGTAAAAGTTTCAGTTCATAGTCAGCTGGCTCCATAGCACAATGGCATGGCACAGTGGAGTCACAAAGAAGAAAATGCCCATGGCAGGACAGGCAGGAAAGAGTGAGCAATGGTATCAGGAAGGCTCCCTTCATTTTTTTCCTTTGTATTAATTAATTTTACTGATACATTTTAGATACTCACAATGGTCACATTGATCACAAGGAATTTGTACCTGTACATGATGTATCTTGATTTCCCCCATTTTCTCTACTCTCCTCTCAACACCTCTCCCCCAACCTTGTTTACAATATGCTGTTTCTATTGTTTTTCTTCTTTTCTCATTTTTCTTCCTTTTCCCTTCTTTCCTTCCTTTACCTTTACCCCCTCTCCAATATCATTCAAAAAGAAGAAAAGCTAAAAGCTTTCAGTCTAAAATTAAGAATAACACAAACACACCCATTGTCAAGATTCTTTTTCAATATAATTCTAGAAATGTTAGCCAGAGCTAGTAGACGAAAGAAATAAAAGGAATAAAGAGAGCAAATGAAGAAAACATTAACATTATTTGCAGATGATATGTGTATCTACATAGAAGACCACAAAAATCTCCATAAAAAATTATCAGACTTAATAACCAAAGTCAGTATTGTCAGGGATGGGAAGATAGCTTGGTGGAATAAGTGCTTATCTGGCAAATGCCAGGTCCTGAGATTGATGCCTGATACTGCAAGAAAAAATATTCAATATTGTAGCTGGAAACAAAGTCAACACTCAAAAATAATGATAATAATAGCCTTCCAGTCCACAACTAACAAACTCAAGCAGGGAGAGGAATTAGAGAAAACACAATTTTCACAATAACACCAAAAAAGAGAGAAATGTATACGAATCAATATAACAATGAAAGTAAAAGAGATCAACACTGAAAACTATGGTACTCTTTCCACCCAAACACAGAGGAATACACATTTTTCTCAGCTGCGCATGGGTCATTTTCTAAAATAGATCACGTACTGCTCCAAAGGTCATCCTTAAGTATATGCCAGAAAACAGAAATTATCTCATGCATAGTATCTGACCATACTACAATGAAACTGGAAATAAATGACAAAAGAAACCAGAAAAAATCCCTAAATCCATGGAAATTAAAAGACAAGCTATTCAGGAAGCAATGGGTCACAGATGAAATTAAAAATAATGCAACAATATGTACAATTCAATGAAAATTCAAACAGAAATTATCAAAATTCATGGGATACAATGAAAGCAGTTCTCAGAGAGAAAGTCATAGCTGTGAACTCACAAATTAGAAAAACATAAAAGAACAAATAAATACCCTAATTCTGAACCTTGAACAACTAGAAAAGGAAGAGCAAATCAAAGCGAGAGCCCATGGAAAGAAAACAAAAAGATTAGAACAGAAATTAATACAAATAAGTCGAAGAAATCAGTTCAAAGAATTAAGGAAACAAAAAGCTGGTCCTTTGAAAGATTAAGTAAAATTGATAAGCCCCTAGATAACATCATCAAAAGAGGAAAGAAAAAATTCAAATACAAGCAATAAGGAATGAAAAGGGTGTAAATACCACAGACCCAGTGGAAATTCAGAAGATTATCAATAGCTTTGAGAGTCTTTACTCTCACAGAATAGAAGACACAGAAGAAATGGACAGATTCCTACAAAGATACAAACTACCACAACTGAATGGACAAGGTTTAACCACTCTCAATAGCCCAATAACACACAATGAAATATTAGATGTAATTAAAAACATACCAACAAAGAAAAGTCCAGGTCCAGATGGATCCACAGCTGAATTTTGCAAGAAATTTACAGAACATGTAGATCCCATACTCCTCAAACTCTTCCATGAAATTGAAAAGGAAGCAATCCTCCCAAAATCATTCCTGGAGGCAAGTATTATACTGATACCAAAACCAGGGAAAAATGCAACTGAGAAAGAAAACTACAGGTCAATCTCCATCATGAACATAGATACCAAAATCCTCTCTGAAATCCTAGCAAATACAATACAGCAAATCATTAAGAAGATCATACACCATGACCAGGTAGGATTATACCCCCAGATGCAAGGATGATCCAATATACAAAAATCAATAAATGTAATACACTATATCAATAGAGCAAAAACTAAACAGCACATGATCATGTCCATTGATGCAGAAAAGGCTTTTGACAAAGCCCAACACTCATTCATGTTCAAAGTCCTACAGAAAATTGGAATAGATGGCCTCTACTTCAATCTGGTAAAAGACATTTATGAAAATCCAATGGCTAACATAATTCTAAATAGGGAAAAACTGAAATCTTTTACTCTTAGATCTGGTACAACACAAGAATGTCCTCTATCACCACTTCTATTCAATATACTTGAGAAATAATTAGCTAGAGCCATTAGAAAAGAGAAAGAAATAAAAGGAATAAGAACAGGTAAAGGAGAAGTTAAATTATCATTATTTGCAGATGGCATGAGATTTTACTTGTAAAACCCAAAAAACTCCACCAAGAAGCTACTAGAATTAATACAGAAGTTCAGTAGCACAGCAGGATACAAAGTCAATAACCAGAAGTTAGCATTCTGAAACACAGAGAACAAACACACTGAGAGGGAAATTAGAGAAGCTATAAGTTTTACAACAGAGAAAAATGAAATAACTTGGAATTAATCTAACTAAAGAAGACAAAGATCTTTTCAAGGAAAATTACAATACTCTGAAAAAAGAGATCATAGAGGATGTCATAAAATGGAAATTATACCATGCTCCTGGATAAGAAGAACGAACATTGTGAAGATGGCCATACTCCCAAAATTACTTTACCGATTTAATGCAATCCCTATCAAACTACCACCAACACACTTCACAGAGCTAGAGAAATCATTCCTAAAACATATTTGGAACCAAAAAAGACCTAGAATAGCAAAGGCAATTCTGGGCAATAAAAACAAGGCAGGAGGCATTACAATTCCTGACTTGAAATTATACTACAAGACTACTTGATAAAATCAGGCTAGTACTGGCAACAAAATAGACCTGAGGATCAATGGAATAGATTAGAAGAAACTGAAGCCTCTACGAATACACTCAGCCACATAATTTTTGACAAAGGGGCCAAACATACCAACTGGTAGAAATAGAGCCTCTTTAACAAATGGTGCTGGAAAAACTGACTCTCTACACGACAAAAACTAAAACTAAACAGAAGTCAATCACCATGCACTAAGCTAAAGTCAAAATGGATTAAAGATCTAAACATTAAAACAGAAACACTAAATCTCCTGGAAAAAAAAAGTAGGAGGAACTCTTGAAGACATAGGGGTAGGTAAAGAGTTCATGAACAGAAATCAAATCGCACGAGAAACACTTGAAAGAATTAACAGCTGGCACCTGCTCTTATTGAGAAGTTCTTGCACGTCAAAAGAAATTACCAACAAAGTGAAAAGACAACTCACAAGTTGGAAAAAATCATGACAAATAAGTACTCATACAAAGGTCTACTTTCTAGTATTTATAAAGAACTAAAAATCACTAGGGACCCCAAATTTAAAGACCCAGTCCAGAAATGGGCATCTGAGATGAACACACACTTCTCAGAGAAAGAAATTAGAGGAGAGAATAAATATATGAAAAAAATGATCCACATTACTAGTCATTTGTGAAATGCAAAATAAAACAACATTGAGATATCATCTCATCCCAGAAAAAATGGCTATCATAAAGAAATCACCCAACAACAAATGTTGGAGATGATGTGGGGAAAAAGGAACCCTTCTCCACTGCTGGTGAGAATGTACACTGATGCACCTGTTATGGCAATCACTGTGGAGACTCCTTAGAAAACTTGGACTGGAGATCCCATTTAAATCAGCTATTCCTCTACTGGGAATTTTCCCAACGGATCTGAAAACATCATATCATAGGGATATATGTGTGCCTATGTTTATAGCAGCACAATTTGTGATAGCCAAATCTTGGAAACAACCAAGATGTCTATCACCTG